TAAAAAGATTTGAAGCACGTACCTTTCTACTTAAATAGTTTTCGAATATAGGGAGGAGAACCGCAATGCTATCTTTTCCGTGTCTATCGATTATTGCTACGCCAGCTTCCACCATCTTAGACCGGACGTCAGAGTTCGTATCTGCCTGTAGGAAGTAAACCGATACATTTTACTTGCTTATTCAGCACAGAGACGTACCAAGGCTCGAGAAATAAGAAAAGTTGATAGAACTGGTAAGTCTTTGGCAGTAAGTATGTCTGCAGCTGCTTCGAGGGCCAACGCTACACCTTGTCTTCCAGGCCAACCAGGATCAACCTGATTCCCTTCACTAGGAAGATCCCTCGAATAGAGGGTAAACAAAGCCGATAGTGTTTCCTGACACCAACGTAAGCATGCGATAAAAACAATATACAAAAAGGTTACTTGTGTACTGCTTGGATACTCCTCCATGGCTGCAGCTAACGCAGTGGCAGCCGCTTGACGAACATTTAAGTTCACATGCGACAAGGCTCCCAGTATGCCTGCGGCATAATCATTTCCAAGATCATGCCCATAAAGGTCCCAGATATCCTCTGCAATGTCTGCTACCACCTAAACAATTCCTAACACATTTGTTGGGAAAGAAACAACAAGCACCATACCTTTTCAGGATCGTATAATGCAATCCACAGTGCACTTGCTACAACGGCGTTGTGAGGCACTGCACCTTTAGCAAATACAGGTACCGATCTGGTCGAGCTTAAGCACGCAACTCGTACATGCGCGTACTTGGAATAAACACCAGCGAGAGTCTGCAAATCCATAAATTAAGATGTCTAAACAGACGAACTTTAAAAGTACCTCTGGCAAATCTACTGGACTGATACCGCGGGACAACTCATTCAAAATTGGGAGAATTACAGCTTGATAACTTGGAAATAAACCAAGCACATGATACAGCACCTGAACAGCCACCCAGAATTTGTTTATGAGCACAGAAAACAACTGCATACCGAAATCATTTTTGAGCGCGGTACATGCATTTGAGGAGAGCAATGGATTGACAAGACACGAAGTAGGCCGTCATGAAATTTAGTTTTCTTGGTTTGGAGCAGGACTTGCTCAACAATCTGTAAAAACTAAAAGTTTAGAACAAAGACGAATTAAACGCAGAGAAATCATACCGGAAAAACTAGAGTGAATGACTCCGCGGGGAATGGTTCACGCACGCAAGCGCTCACAATTCCCGTGATCACTCTCCGAACAACGCCTTTCTCCTCATCCAAGTAAATTTGTAGAGAAAACGACGACACCAATATTTTCATAGCAGCTGCAATATCAGTTGCCAGGTATCTGAGTGCTGGAGTCACCGATCCCGTTAATTTGACCATCGTATGGAACGCTTCATCGCTAACAATTGGCGACTTCAGAAGCGGAAGGACAAGTGGGATCTGGTCATTCGTCAAATATGAGTGAAAACTGCAATAATGTATATAGCTTACCAAAGCAGGAAGATGATCATGCACAAAACATAAATTGGCATCCGCAACAGCTGCAATAGCTCTTAGAACCACAGTGAACCGCGTCCTTAGATGCAATACTCTGGAACGAACAATAGCCTCTTCTTTTAAAAGATAATCTCTTGCTTCTTCTTTAGTTGGTTTCGATTCACCTGAAAAAAAAAAGCCATCACAAATGGAACATATTGACAAAACAAGAAAAGTACCAGTCTTTTTAGAAGCTTTACTCACGTCTCTAGGCGCAGACGGCCGGGAAGCAGACTTCGCCATTGTGTCCTACAGCAAATTTCGTTAGCCACCATAATGTCAAAAACAGCCTAGTACCTTTCCATTTCCGGATTCATTATACATTTTGAATCGACCTTTTGCCTGCTTGACATTTTTATCCACCACCACTTCCGCAACATACACCCCGCCTTCAGTAGACAGAACACCTTCAGGAGTGTTGAATATCTGCCAAGGAAGGTTCGAAATTAAATTAATACGTGAGTAATATCCACCTTGATATCGCTGGCATTGAGACCATTGTGAGAGCTCCAATCCGCTAGATCCTTTACACCCTGCAAGGAAGTAAGTACGTAATTCCAATAAGAAGAAGAGAACCTACATGGATAAAATGATTGAACATTTCATCAGGTATCATTTGTATGACTAAACCAAGCGCAACAATTGCTGCCTTTGAAATGGCCGGTTGTTCACTGGTCAACCCGTTCGCCCCGGCCAGGACCTGCAGCATGAACAAGTGTATCCAGCATCAAAAAATTCAAATAATAACCTTCCAGACAGCACCGGGATCAGATCTTAGGACGGCACGAAGGGAACGTTCCCCGTCTTGTTTACTTATGCGTCTTGCAAAGTCCTGGCAAAGAAGTCAGATGCATGTGCCACAGGAAAAGGTTGCTTACCTTCCAATATGGATTATACTTTTGACCACGCAAGATACAGTCGTGGTGAAAAGCTATTAGGAAATGCGTACAATACGAGGGATCCCGCACTAGTGATGTACATCCTAGTGATAGTAGTGCTTTAGAAAGAATATCTGATGAAGGAACCTCTAAAGGCGAACTATCATTCTCGATTCCACTGCACATCTGAGCATTAGAAAAATACAAGCTTCAAAACATAGGAGTGAGATTTACCGCATTTGCGAATGAAGCTGGTCATGTAAAGTGGGAAGCCAATTCAAAAAGGACTCGAAAAGCTCCTTCGCATATGCTAAAGACGCTACTTGTAGACGCCCGACAGCAGCTGCTGCAGCTCTTCTTACATCCCATGACTGGTGCCAAAGAAAGCTTACGAGGCTCTACAGCAAGAAAATCATTAGCAATTGTTGGCACATGATTGAGTTTATTACCTTGGAACGTTCAGTTAGCCCCTCGTTACTTCCTCTGCAACCCACGTAAATTTTGATATTGTGCAAAGATACGATTTGTGCCTACCTGGAGAGCTGATAATTTGAAAAATCTTCAAGAAGTTCTATCAAAGCACTGCAGTCCTCCGTTTGCATTTTCAAATTCTGTTCATACGTGGTTAGATCAAACCAAACCAAACGAGGCAACGAAAAAGTCATACAACTGTCGAGAAAAACGTAGATTCGGGAATCGTTATTGACGAAATGATCTTTTCCTTGAGCAGCTTGTCATCTACAAGAATACAAAGAAGGATGTTTATTGGCTCAAAATGTTGTTTGAATCGCTCACCAGCTCTGCTGTCGATGGATGCAATCTTGAGTAGCAAAAGAAGAGCATAAATCCCGTCTATTCTTTGTGCAGGTTTTGCTATGCCAGTTTTGGCTAGTTGGATCAGCTGATCAACTAGCGGGAACGCCTGCAAAAAAGCTGTTTCAGAACAGAACGCCTTACAAGCTTCAAACCCACAAGAATCGGAAGTTCTTCATTGAAAAATGCCTGGCGAAGACAACGCAAGTGTGCTCTTCTCATAGTTTCTTTCTCTTTAAGTCCAGCCGAGAAAAAACTTGAGCACTCAGCTGGCAAGTTACGCTCGGCTTTTCCAAGCGATGAACTTAGTGACGATAGAATGGCCACTCGGACTTCCTCGTTTCCTGTCCCACACATGTAAGCAGCAAAAATATCAAAGGCAGCACCAGGACTTACCATCGTCTTTGTACAGAGAAATAAGCAGCGGGCTGATAACACCTGCAGCGTGAATAACCGCTTTGCCTTGTCCAGCGTCACAAATGGCGCGCAACGCATAGATCAACCCCAGCCTTTGGTAGACGAACGTCAGTTTACCCTCAGAGCCTGGCACAAGAGCTAGTTAGCCGTGAGTTAGCAATGCTCTTAGACACAACTAACCTCCCAGTATGGACTTGATGGCTTGGACCATTGTTAACAGCGAGTCTGTGTCACCCGACTTTTGTGCAATCCAGCTGAGAGTTTGCAGCGCTTCCCTTCGCCTTCCCTCGTCGTTATGTCGACATTGGAGCAAAACCACGGGTAGAAACTCGCCTGTGTATCTGCTCAAATCCAGCGGTGTCTGCTTCAAAAGAACTCCAACGGCCTCCAGAACAATCTCAGGGCTCCTCTTGAGCATCCTTACTGCAGCCGGCACGACCACTCCCCCGAATTGATCATGCGACAGGTGCTTGAAAAGTGGCTCAAACGCTTCGCTGATCGCCTTCGAAGGCTTCTCTCGCGATCCAAGTACCAACTTCACGTAAAGATCGACAAAAAAGGCCTGACAAGATAACACATTTCACTGCCAAGAGCTCTGCAAATAAACTTCTTACCTTCTTCACCGAAAGAAGAGCTGGATCCCTTGCAGCGAACTCCAGAAGCACAGAAATGAGCCCGCTTCTCTCCGAGGGCGAGGCCTCAAGCTCAGAGACGTAGTTCTCGTACAAGCCATTCACCTTCAGCATTGAAACTTTCATAAATCCCAGGGAAGAGAAAGAAAACCTCCATACCTGGATCAGTGAGCGAAGCAGCAAAGCCTTGGAAGCTAGCCTTAGACGATACCGTGCCTGCGAGAGTGCCAAGAGCAGCGAAGACTGGACCGCAGCAATCCTGGAGAACGCATTCCTGGCGGACACAACCGCGGGAGCAAAACTCACGAGAAAGCACGTCCATCGCAGGAGCTTGAGCTGCGTGGAGGCGGTACACACTTTGGCGTTCCTCTCGGCCGCCTGGACAAGCGCGCCAGTGAAAGCCTTGACGAAAGCTGGCAGCTTGAGCGCCTTGATTATCACCGAGTCCACTGCCAGCTGCGAGGCGCGATCATCGTAGAGATGCAGCGTCGCGAGAACAATCGCAACCAGCTCGGGGACGTGATCCACCGCGTGCTCATCTGGAAGGGGCGTCAGCATTGCCGGAATCGAAACCTAGAGCTAGAAATCCATCACCTGGCAAATCGAGCAACGATGACAAGCTCGCGCGGAAGAGGGAGACGCGCTCCTTGGTGGACGGCGAGCTAAGCCTCGCCGCGACGAGCGCTAGATCGCCCATGGCGGAGGAACACTCTAAACCCTAAATCTCGATCATACAACAATGCGGACAATTTTAAAACGTGATCACTCCCGTCTTGCAGAGAGCTACTCTCGTAAAAGCGTGAAGAGCCATGGCTGTTCTTCGTCCATTCCCTACGAGGCTTTAGCTCTTGCTACTCGCATCCTTTGCGCTCCTCGCGTCGTTCGTCTTCCTTCGTGACTTCCATTCGCATTGAAAGTTTCTTGGTCGTAGATTTTCGGATCAATGTGGAAAGAGAACCTGGGAGCTCCAGCACGGATCTGCGAGACGAGCTCGTTAGCTTCCAAGACGAGAGGAAAAAGGATAGCGTTCTCAAGGACAAGTTCTACCTGAGAGTGACGATCTTGGATCAAAAGCACAGCATGTTTTAGTAGCTTTTGTAGATGGATCTGAGCGTCACCCCGGAGCTGCAAAGAATGCATTCGAAAAGCCAGTTTTGACAAAGACAAAAGCCTTACACTTTCAGTGCCTAGACCCTGGTACAGATTGCCTTTAGCTTGCAAGAGCTTGTATAGCTTCTCGATACTTTGCAGCTCATGCTCCAGATCCGAGAAGGAGCTGCCACGACCACCTACGTGCTCAAACATTTAGATGGCTCAACTGAGATGGAGACGAAGAGAAAAAATGTAAAATGAACAAACCTTTGCTTGATGCGCGAATTTGCATCAAGTCCCACGACGCTGCGGCATGAGAAACTGCTGCTTCACGCCTATCCGCTTCTAGAGTGGCTTCTTCCACTTCCCTTGCGACTTCTTCCCTCTCTTTCATGCATCGCCGTAGCTCCCTCTGTCCCGCAAGAAAAAATCACGTCTTGATGTCTCTAGTGATCAATCAACGAGAAATGGAACCTGCAGCCCTTGCGTCTCGAGCCCCGCTTTCGACTCGAGCAGCTCCTTGTCCGATGGCGACTCGGATAAATCATGCTTGATCTCTGCATATCGTGATCTCGACTTCCATAGCTTGCCTATAGATGTCGCAAGAGAATTGTTGGCGAGAGTATAAGATCCTCTAAAACTTTGGCTCACCATTGAGGCTTTCTCGAGAGTATGACGCGATTTTCATCATCCGGATCCAGGCCGCCTGTGCACATTTTCGACGACGTTTTACAAAAACCGCGATGCGAGAAGATGGTGATATAAGCAGTGGACCTTTTATATGCGCGGGGAGAACACACCAATGCTTCGTGGGAGTCTGCCGCAAGGACGTAAGCGCTGCGCCTCGCAAGCCCGGCGTACTGCGCGCCGAGAAACAAATGGAAGACGAATCCATTGCTCGACTCCCTCGATCGTCCTGAAACTTCGACTTTGCTTCCTTCCATCGGAATAACAGCTGAAGGCAAACCCGTGCGCACCTGTAAAGAGAGAAAACTAAAGAAAGGAAACGAAGAAGCCTTGTGTAGAAACCTGGCATTCGTTGACGAAATAGAATAGGGCATGGCCCTGGAGCAAGAAGAGGCGCCTCTTCCACGAATCGGATCTCCTGCCGCGCTTGTCCAGGTATCCGGCCAGCTCTGGCTCGGACCACATCACACTCTGGACTGGGAGTGGGAGTAAGCGCAAGATAAACAAGAAAAAGAGCGCGAGATGCTAGGCTAGCCTACCTTCATCGTCGTCCCTTTCATCGCAATGTTACGCTCGATGGGTAAAATCACTCGCTAAAACCGTTACTTCCATCAGGGGTGGTGGCGCAGTTGGTCAGCGCGTAGGTCTCATAGCTTCTGAGTTATCTTGAGGTCGAGAGTTCGAGCCTCTCTCACCCCAAATCTCTCTTTTGCCCTTTTATCTCAAGGACGATCGATTTAATCCCGTTTAACCCAAAGGTCTCGTTCTTAGTAACTTCACAAGCTTTCGCTAATCGATCAGCTTCCACTAGTTTCTTCCGGCAGATTTCTTAAGTTTGACTGTTCGCGGCAATTTGATTTTTCGCCACAATTTCTCGCGGCAAATCGAATCGAGCGGGTTTGACTTTTGGCATCGCTGGATCGGCTGAGCGAGGCGATCGATCGCCTGGACTTTTGCCCCAGCTCGTCGTGCACGCCGGCGGCGTACGCGTCGCTCCTCCAGCAATGCGGGCGCGCGCAAGCGCTGGAGCAGGGGCGGCGCCTCCACGCGCGGATCGCCGCCACCGGCCACGCCACCGACCGCTACCTCTGCAACCTCCTCGTCCAGATGTACGGCAGGTGCCGCAGCGTCGGCGAGGCGCGTACGGTCTTCCGCGGCATCAAGCGCCGCAATGTCTTCTCCTGGAACATCATGCTCGCGGCGTATGCCCACAACGGGCATTACGATCTCGCGCGGGCGGTCTTTGAGCAGATGCCCGAGAGAGACACAGTGTCATGGAATGAGATGCTTGGAGCTTACGCGAAGGGTGGCTTGTTGCGTGAGGCGAGAGAGTGCTTCGATCGGATACCAGTGCCGGACGTTGTGTCGTGGACGCTCATGGTTTCGGCATATGCCATGGCTGGGTATTTTGTAGAGGCCATTTTGATGTTCCGGCGGATGGATCTCGAGGGCGTCCAACCCGACCGGGTTATGTATGTGATCATCCTCGACGCTTGTGCAAGCGTTTTGGCGCTGGATCTCGGACGGATCATCCACTCTTGTCTACTCGACGGGCATGAGCATGATTTTGCGATGAACTTGGTCGTGCGAACCGCGCTCGTCAACCTGTATGGCAAGTGCGGCGCTGTGGAAGACGCTAAGAGTGTTTTCGACAGCTACTTTCTCTCAAAACACTGTGATCAATCAGACAAAGAACAAGGTGTCACGCTGTGGAACGCGATGATGGCAGCGTATGCTCAAAACGGGCACATCGCCAGAGCCGTAGACCTCTTCGGCAAGATGCCCGCCAGAGACGTGATCTCGTGGAACACAATGGTTGCCGCGCTTGCTCAGAACGAGATGGAGAAAGCCGCCATGGAAACCTTCTCGCTGATGGATCTAGAGGGCGTGCAGCCGAACGAGATCACCTTCATCGCGGCGATCGACGCGTGCTCCAAGCTCGGCAGCCTCGCTATCGCCGAGCTCGTCCACTCGAGCGTCCGCTTCTGCGGCTTCCAATCCGACGTAAGAATCGGAAACGCTCTTCTCAACATGTATGGCAAATGCGGGTGCGTGGAGGTCGCTAGAGAGGTCTTTCGCAATATGCCAGAGAAAAACGTTGTCTCTTGGAGCGGGCTCATCTCGGCCTACAGCCAAAACCACCGGTGCAAGGAAGCTCTCGCTTCGTACCGCCAGATGATCCACGAAGGAGTGAAACCAAACGAGGTGACGCTCCTGGGAGCGATCGACGCCTGCGCGGGATCTGCCGTAGCAGCAGACGCCGAGGCAATTCACACCAACGTCAGGGACTACTCCAGCTTGATCAACGTCGAACTCGCCAGAGACCCGGTTATCGGAAACGCGATCATCAACATGCACGGGAAGTGTGGCAACCTCGGTGCCGCCATGGCCGCGTTCGCCAAGCTCGGCTCCAGGAGGAACGTCATCTCCTGGAACACGATCATCGGCGCGTATGCCCACTCGGGGAATACCCAGCGAGCGATCGAGCTCTTCCGGGCTATGGCGGTGGACGGGGCAGTACCGCCCAACGAAGGCTGCTTCACCAGCGTTCTCTCGAGCTGCAACCACGCCGGGCTCTTGGGCGACGCTTGCGACTACTTCGCGATGATGGTAGCGGACTTTGGCATCGCCCCCGTGACGGAGCACTTCCACTGCATGATCGACGTGCTGGGACGAGCCGGGAGGCTGGCGGAGGTGGCGGAGCTGATCAAGAGCATGCCATGCAAGGCCGACGTTATTGCCTGGACGGCTTTCGTGGATGCGTGTAAGACGCACGGAGAGTTTGGCAAGGCAGGAGAGGTGGTCTTGGAGAAAGGATTTGTGCCATCAAATTCTGGGCCTTACGCACTGCTTTCTAACATGTACGCTGCGTGAAACCTTGGAAGTGATCGCATACATCAAACTACGTCAATTTTAATTAATTACTTGATTCTTCTGTACAAGTGGCTCGACTCTAAAGAGGAGGAAAAAAGAGAGATTTAGAAGTCTAGAGCGCGAGTGACGCTCCAGCTCCAGTTGGTTGCTTGGATCCAGCGAGCTGAAGATTTCCCACCCCACTGGCAACTGGCGTCACGTCGGTGTATTTGGCAATCGCATCTCTCAATCTTTGGATCTGCATCGGAGGTAATCACAGTCACAGTCAGGTCAGTCCGGCAAAAATCTCTAGAGAGAAATTTTCAATCCAGCTCTCACCTTTGAGATGGTGCAAGAGAATGACTCGAGGTGGCCCTGAGCGCGGTACACAAAGAAGAGCGGCAGCACCTTGACATTCAAGGCCTTGCAGATCTCCGTGTTGTCATCGTAGTTAATCTTGAGGAAGAGAACCTCCGGATGCTCCTTTGCGATCTTACACAGCTGCACGTATTCACCCAAAATCAGTCCCAAGAAAGAAATAAAAAACTTTTTTTTTTTTTGGAGAGGAAAGAAAAAAAGAAGCATTCAATCACCTTTGGATAGAGCGTTCTACAGCCGTTGCAATGTCTTGCGTAGAAATCCACAATGACGAGTCTATCCCCGGCAGTGGAGAGTGCGTCAATGAATTCTTGCATGGAGTGGATTTCCACCATGTTGGGCGCTCCATCCTTATCCCACCATTTCAACCACGGTGCCGTGTTCAACACCTATCACCGCGTCACACACACCGTTAGAGAAAGAAGAAAAAAAATTTACTTCTAAGTCAAACAAATCACCCGCATACTTGAGGAACTAGAAAATTCCCTCGCAAAGAGGATAAAAAATCTCACCTTGGACATCCCCGAAGAGCCCGCTCTCAATCTCGAGCAATGTTGCCGCTGCTGCTGCCGATTTCTGACAGCCAGCTGCCGAGAAATCCCCCAAAACTGCGAACTCCATGGAGCAGCGCCCAATCTCACGCACGAATGCGACGACGACGATGCTACCGACGATTCCCCTACCACAAGCCGCGCGTTCTCACTCGACAAGATTCTCGCAGTGGGATGCAAGACCTGCGCCATTTCCCGAGGATTTGAGAGACCGCGCGCTGAAATTTCCTCTGATTCAAGCCTATCTAGGATGAAATGGAAAACCTCTGGGGCCGCGATCGACAAGAAATGGATGAATGCGCTACCAATTTCGGAAAACTACACACCGCCGGGAAGAGAAGAGTGCACCTGGACAGAGAATCGCACGCTCGCTCGCTCGATTCCTTGGCGGCTAGCTGACCTAATAGTCTAGACGCTTCCCTTCGCGTGGACGAAAGGGAGTGTTCTTCGATTGTGGATGAGTCGTGGCCAGTTTCCCCCTTTAAAGCGTCCACACGATTCCGCCCGTCAAACGCATCGCCGCCGTCCGCGTGCCTGGTAGATTCCGGAATAGCACCCGCGATCCACGCCATCCGTGTGTCCTCATCCAGTAACGAGTGGCCAGAATTTTCTATACGTGTGGCTAAATGGATATGGAGGGAATTTTGAAAGGAGCTTCCAAGCTGGAGGCGGGCCATAGTCGATAAGATCCACCGTCCGTTCCTGGCACATCTGACGGCCGCAATAAAAAGTACGACGATCTTTTGACAGGTAATGCGGCCCACTAACTCTTTCGGTGGGAGGGATGCATTTGTCAATACCGTGTCAATGTTGTGATGAAATAAGATTTGGAGAACTATGGGCGAATATGATAGCATCTTTTCTTTTGTGTGGCAACCCACAAATTCCTGGCATTGACAACTACCATGTGTCGCTGGCTCCATGCTTCGCCACAACTTTGGATCATCTGATACGTTGCTGGTGTGCCTGTGTGAGCATCAAAACCAGGCACGTCGCCCGTGAGGGACAAATATCTACCAAGAGCCCTAATCGCCGCGCAAACAAGTCCACTCCAAAGAATCTGGGACAAAGGGCATCTCCGCCACAAGCTCGTGGGCTTCCGCCACGTAGCCGCCCCTTGCGAGCGCGTCCACGATACAATTGTAGTGCTGCTTCGTCGGCCGTACGGCAAAGTCGTACGCCATGGACCGGAGGTAGGACCCGGCGAGAAAGCACCGCCCCGAGTGGCTGCACGCGTTTAGGACGAGCACCCAGCACACCGCGTCCGGTGAGACCGTACATTTGGCCAGGTCGAATAGGGCCACCGCCCCGTCGGTGTGGCCGTACGCGCACAGCAGTGTGGCCCAGGAAGCGAGGGTTTGATCCGGCATTGCGTCAAAGAATTTCTTGGCTCGATTAGGGCCGCCCATCTGGGCGTGGGCGGCGAGCATCGTGTTCCAGGCGATGGCGTCGCGGCACGGCATTGCCGCGAACAGGCTCCTGGCAGCGTCGATATCTCGATTGGAGCAGTGCATTGCCAGGATCGCGTTCCACGACTGTGGGTTTCGCTGCGGCATCGAGTGAAATAGCGCGAGGGCTCGATTGTCATCGCCGCTGGTAGCGTGCGCCGCCAGGATTGTGTTCCAGGAAGTGGTGTCGCGATGAGGCATCTGCTCGAACAGGCATTGCGACTGCTCCAAATCTCCGGCCCTCACCGAAGCGAGCAGCATTGTGTTCCAGGAGGTTTGATTTCCATGCGGCATCTGTGAGAAATGCCGCCTTGCCATTTCCAAATGCCCTGTCGTGGCAAATGCTTCGAGCAGTAGATTCCACGATTCGATGCTTCGTTCGGGAACACTGTCAAAAGTTCTTCTCGCGTCCTCAAAACTATTGCTTTCCACAAACGCTGTGAGCATTGCGTTCCAAGCAACAAGATCGCGCTCTTTCATCCCATCAAAGAGATCCTTTGCCAGATCCAGATGCCCGTTCACGGCATATGCGGTGAGCATCACGGTCAAAGATACCGGCGTCTGGACCGGTATCTCACGAAATACTCGCTCCGCCTCTTCCAGATTCCCCTCCTGCGCGAAAGCGTTTATCACGGTCGTCCACGCCACGACATTCCTCTCGGGCATTCTATCCAATAGCCACGTGGCACCTGACAGATTCCGGGACTGGCAATAAGCGGCCAGGACCGCAGTCCACGACACGAGATCCCGGAATGGCATCTCATCAAATAGTTTCTTCGCGGCATCCAGCCGTCCAGCCTGCCCGAGGGCGGCGATCATGGCCGTAGATGACACCAGATTCCTTTCCGGAATTAGGTCGTGAAAGATTTCTATGGCTGAGAGTAAATCCCCGAGCTGGGTATTTGCCGTAAGGATAGAATTCCACGACACAAGATTGACAAGGGGCATTTGCGCAAATACTTCGCAAGATCGATCAAGAAACCCTGCTCGCGCATTTGCTGCTAGAATCGTTGTCCAGGAGATGATATCTTTCTCGGGCATCCGATCAAACAGATCTCTCGCGAGATCCAATTCCCCAGCCTTGGCAAATGCCGCGAGCATCGTGTTGCAAGAGACAATGCTCGCCTCCGGCATGGCGGCGAAGAACAATCGCGCTTGCTGGAAATCCCCATTCCGGGTGTAGCACGAGAGCATCGAGTCCCAGGTGTAGAAATCTTTGTGCCGGGTGGAATCGAAGACCTCGCGCGCGAGATCGGCGCCACGGCAGCTCGCGTACATCTGGATGAGCTTGTTGGACAGGAAAGGATCGCCATCGGCGGCCCTAAGATCCACGGAGCTGGCCAAGCAAGCGTGGAGCTCTCGAGCCTGGGGCAAATCCTGACAGGCCTCGATCGCGTGAAGGATCTCTTTTCTCGTATCCCCAGCGATGGCGAGATTCATGCCAGGGAACCAGGTAGGGTTCTTGGCATTTCCATGGACGAGCGCCACTGGCCGACGCAGGATCACGTCGATGAAATCCGCAAGAATGTGGAAGCGATGGGCGCTCAATCAGGAGGCTTCCAGATCGTGGCGTCGCCATACCGGATCTGCCCACTGGGCGCCCACGTCGATCACCAGGGCGGCGCCGTCACGACCATGGCGCTGGATCGTGGCGTGCTCCTGGGATTCGCGGCGGCCGCGGGGCCGGAGATCCGCGTGAGGTCGGCCCAATTCCCTGGCGAGGTGAGCTTCCGGATCCCGCAAGAATCCACCAACATCGAGCATTGCGACGCGGAGTCCCAGTGGGGTGATCTCGCCCGCGGCGCTTGCTACGCGCTCCTCCGCGCGGGACACGCCATCTCCAGGGGGATCGTCGCCTTCCTCGACGGCGGCGAGGGATTCCATGGCTGTGGCGTGAGCTCCTCCGCGGCGGTGGGGATCGCCTTCCTCCTCGCGATGGAGCGCGCCAACGATCTCCTCGTCTCGCCCGAGGCCAACGTAGAACTCGATCGGATCCTCGAGAACGAGTTCCTGGGCGTCAAGAACGGTGTCATGGACCAATCGGCCATTCTCTTCGCGAGACCGGGCTGCCTCACGCTCATCCGGTGCCACGAGCTCGATCGAACGCATCAATCTCTCCAGTTTGGAGGAGGAGGAGGAGGATCGAGCTACAAGATCTTGCTCGCCTTCTCGGGCCTCCGCCACGCGCTGGCTTCCAAGCCCGGGTTTAATCTCCGGGTGTCCGAGTGTAACAAGGCCGCCAAGTTCCTTCTCGAGGCCGCCGGGAGGGAGAAGAAGAGAAAGGTGGCGGTGCTTGGTGACGTAGCTCCGGAGGAGTATACTCGGCTCAAAGCGAAGCTAGCGGCGGTGGAGGGCGGCCATCTCGCGAGGCGGGCGGAGCATTTCTTCTCGGAGAGAGCTCGGGTGGAGGCCAGCGTCAAGGCTTGGGTGGCGGGGGACCTGGCGGAGTTTGGGCGGCTCATGACCGAGTCCGGGCGGAGCTCCATCGAGAACTACGAGTGTGGCTGCGAGGCGCTGATTGATCTGTGGGGAATACTGGCGGAGGCGCCGGGTGTGTATGGAGCGCGGTTTAGCGGCGCGGGGTTTCGAGGCTTCTGCGTTGCGCTGGTGAAGGCGGAGATGGCGGACGAGGCTGCGAGGTTTGTGAGGAGAAAGTATCGGGAGGCACAGCCGGAGCTCTCGAAGAATGTTGGTGGCGATCAAGGCGTGGTGATATGCGATTCTGGCGGCTGCGCGTACCTTATGGATTTGTGAAGCATTTTCTTCTCTTTTTTTTTCTTTTTCTTTCAGAGTGGGATTGTTTTGGTCATTCTGCTGTGCTCGTTTTCCAGCCTGCGGGAGAGAAGCATTGCTTCCGATATAACAGAGTAGAGGATTGATTCTTTACCTGAAAAAGTTCCAGAGGCCTCTCCTGAGAACTTCCAAGAACGCAAACATGAACTGCTCCACCTGTTGATCCGTGCCAGCACGAAAAGATAAAAAAGAATGCAGCCACGCAAAGCGAAGAAATGAGTTGACAACCTGTGCACGTAACAAGCATGAGTTGTTGATATTACTACCACGAGTACTGACCATGGACGCGATGTAGATTGCTTTCTTCGTGAGGATGAGCTCGTCTCGGAGCCAAGGATTGCGTGACCGTCGCTGGAGCAGCCCCCAGTCCATGACGAGATCCCAATAGAGCTGGTACATCGTTGTACACAAAGATATGACTATGAATGATACGAACCAGAGTGTGGAGCCTGTTCTTGCGTACGCAAACTTGGCCATGAGCGAAAGCATTCCGCACAAATACTTGGCAGCGTTGGCAAGCTGTACTTGATCTCCGTCATGCCATTTCCTGAGGCACTAGAAAAGGCAAGATCACTCCAGGCTCTGGAAGAGAGTCGTACCTGGAGAATTCTCCACCACTGCGGAAGCAAAAGCATGGCACACTGATATGTAGAAGTGAAGCAGACTGCAGTGTTGCCAGCCAGAACACGGCCTCCATGGTAGCACACAGAGAAACCAAGATCCTTGAGAGCTGAAGCCTGCGATGGAATGGATTTAGCTAGAAAAACAAAAGTGTGAAAGAATACTGATACCTGGCTAGTAAGCTGGTCAGCAAAGAAAAAATCTGCAAACCTGACCTGCAAAAAGATATCAAAAACGTTCAGCAAGCTACCTCAGGCTGGGATGGAGACGAACTTCAGAAAGAGGCGAAAAGATGGTCCGGGCGATCAGCCGCAGAAGACCATATCGTGCAGGCTTGTAGAAATAATTGTAAGGAATAACAAGTAGAGCCACCACAACCTGAATCCATCTTCAGCAGATTTGTTAGAAGTGGCATGACTGCTTTCTTAGAATCACTGCTTCACTTACCACAATAACAAAAAGCGGGATGTCATTGGTCGTGACAGCTTGAATGGCCAAAATATCAGCACCAAGGTAAAGAACCATGCCGAGTAGCAAAATCGCGGCAAGAGCAAGACTTATGAGGAAAATGTCTTGGTGTTTTAGATCCGCTCCCGGCGCCATCTCAAGCATGGAGGCATAGTGAATCCGCGCCCGCTGCCAGAAGTAGACGTTACAGGCATACATGCACAAGTGGAGCACAAATAACGCGAGAGTGCTGTAAAGGATTTAAACGCAGCTCCTTCAAACGTGAACTTTGATCATACCCGAATATTGAAAACGTTGTCAGCATGGCCGCTCCCCTCTTCCTACGAGAAAGAATATGTAGCAGCACGAAGGCTGCAAGCAATCCCAGACAGCTCCCCGTCACAAGCCCTGCAAGGCCGCAACACACCTTGCGAATTACATGGCCGGTATGCAAGTCACGTACCAAAGTAGAAACTTGTACGCGAGGATGACGAAGAATAGTACCATCCCTTGATGAAAGTGTGCTTGACAATGCTGTTCACTTGGTCCATCGTGTCAAGCAACTGCTTCCACGAACAAATCACAAGATTTTTCCAAGCAGCAAAAGACATGCCTTATGCGAGGTCCGAAAGTACGACGTTTCCACAGCTCTCATGTACGCAGAGCTCACGTTTTGTCCTGTGATCTGCAGCGCACGGCAAAGGACCCCGTAAGATTGCTTCCCAGGAACGGAAAAGCGTGATCACGGTACCTTGTCGAATTTTTTCATGATTTTCCAGAATGCCATCCTATTTAGCGTGCTGCAGCCAACACACCAAAGATCAGCATTCGCGAATTCCTGATCAATCCGGAACCTGTAGTTACGTAGAAGAGAAAGTTGTCTGCAAAGATCGGCCACCGCATTGCAAAGAGAGCTCGACTTCCGCGCATCTGTAAGTAATGGAAATTAGCAAAACTATCAAAAGAGATGCTACAAACCTCCAGTAACTGAGTGATGATCATTCTCGAGCTGGAGTAGTAGCATACGCGCTCTCGATTCGAGTTCTCCTTCCCTGGCGATATAGAAACCATTGACAATGCCGAGCTGCAAATCGAGCGCCCGGAAAAATGCTCGCTCATTCTCGCTAGCGGCGGAATCCAGCTCCGTCTCAAACGCCGCATGGCCGCCTCGCGAATGCACAACAATCTGGAACAACATCCCACCAAAATATAATTCGCAACCACGATCGATCGCCAAGAAAGAAAGATTACTTCGATCTTCCTGCGGCGCCTGCCAAGGAGGTAACCTGGCATCCAAGATCGCCGTGCCGGACCGGAGCGCTTGATCTTGCGGAGCTCCTTCTTGAGATCCTTGTAATCGCAGTAGGAATCCCGCCATTCCGGCACCAGCTGCAACTGGAGCTGCTTCTGGAATTTCATGATCCGGCCGCGATGCCGCTGCTGCTACGCAATAGCGGGCGAGGTTGAGGTCCTCCTCCTCGACGGCATTGCGATTGCGCCGCGGGAACTCTGCAAAGCATCGCGCTGCTAGGGACATTATAAGAACGGGCGTCCAGCGAACGAGATTCCTATGATGGACAGTGACGCTACCACGGCACGCACAAACAACGCTTCGCCTCTTCCGCAAGCACACAAGGCGTGCCCTGCGCATAACGCTTCAAGTTTTAGAACTGGTAATTCCTTTTTCCTTGAAAGGTTTAATATTTTATAAAAGGTGAAATAGTCAATTGAATATAGATAAGAATAATAATTTTATAGGAATTACATGTATAGTCATAAAAATTATGTGAATTTATTGTATATATATAAAGTTCACTATCTAAAATTTTATAAATAAAAAATCTATTTGTTCATTACTTTTATGTTTGTGAGCTGCTTAACTTGTTATAATGTGCAATTAATTAATTTATGTTTATTTTGGGACTTATATACAAATAGTTTTGCAACTATAAATGTTGTATAAAATATAAATATTAAACATACTTAATTCTATTTACTTAGTTAATTTAAAGTTTTAACACAATATACAATCATTTTAATTATCAATTAAGTTCAAATAATAATTCTGAAAAATAATTGTCAAAGTTTTCTTGATAGTTTTATTATGAAAATAGTTAAAACTTAAAAGTAAACATTTAAACTAAATTATTTTTATAAACTTTAAGATATTTATAATATAAATAATTAGTTGACAAATCAACGATAACTTCGAGTGTCTAAAACTTCTGTCAACACTTTTGGAGGAGGTGTTCTTGAATTTTATTTTCAAGAGATGTTATAGCAGACTATATTTCTCACAATCCTTTTGAAACTTAGAAGATTATGCAAATTATATGTTTTACTTTATCATAAAGTATAACTTAGTAATTATTTTTTTTATATTTATAAATATTTATACTTTTTTATTATTTTTAAAATATTTTTATTATGGTTTTTATTATTTTATCTCAAGGATTAAAAATATAAATTTAAAAAAAATCAATAATAAGGCAAATTTTGTTATTTAGCCAAAAATAACCCCAAAGACAATTTAACTATATTAAATGTCAAATTTCATTTCTTTAGCTCTTTTTATATTTGAAATTATACTTTCATAAAAAAATATATTAGCACAGTTCATAGTAATTCACTAGCATATACTCTTTAACTTATTTTTAAATTTTTTCTATATATCATTAAATATTTTAACTAATTTATTAATATAATGATTTTCTTAAGAGATTTCACCATACTCTGGTAGAAATAAAATATTTTCCAAAAACTTACTTCATTTTAAACTGTAAAATTTTAATAAGATATATTTTAAAACTTTATATATTTGTTTGAATTACTAATGTAAAATTTAATATCTTCTGAGGTACTAAATGTTAATATACATTTTATAATGCCATGTTGTCAAAAAAACATTTGCAACTATTTATAAATAACATAATGATAAATAAAAATGTTTATGTTTCACTAATAATAATCAACAATTTTTTTAAACAAATATTGCCAAAGACTGTCTATATAAGCTCAAACCAAAATACTTATCTGTGTATGAATTTGTGACTTATAATTTTATTACTAAGACTATGGGTTTTACAATAAATTATATATACTTTAATAAAACACTTAATAAGAATATCTCAAACAAAAAGAAGAAGGACCTATATTCCATATAATATGCAAGTTTTTCCCATTTTGGAACTGTGTACTTAATTATCTTATATGATTAATTTAGAAATATTGAGATAATAAACATCTAGATAGTAATTAAAATAAAATTCACAAATGAATTATATTACACACACCTACTTTTCCAATCAATGTATGAAACGTAAAAGTTATGTTAATTAGTGAATATTATACTTGTTTCATCTCCGCTTGTCACCTTTGCGATTGCATCATTGATTTCGATTTTAAGCCACTACAAGGGTGTGGAGCGTAGCATCCATTCAGTGAGACTTGTTACACGGCCACCACTTTCTTGCATCCAATACCTGTTTGGCAATGCAAAGTTTTTTAGAGCAGTGAATACTCAGCTTTCATCAGGCTCATACTTTCCCTCCCAGGAGGCCGAGAAAGGCTGGAGAGCTTAACACGAAGTTAGACAAGAGCTGAACTCGTGCTCTGGTGAGGGAGATCGGGTGTCTAACTGGTAATACCTACAATGAGACACAGTTAACAGTTTTTTGTTACAGGCAGGGACAGACAAATAGCGAGGTAAAAAACGGTCAGCTCAATCCGCACCGTTTAAGTTGTTTGTGATCGTTGAACAGATATTTATTTTTCTCGACGCTCTCTCGATCCTCGCTACCTAGGTTTTGTGTTCTGCGCGAGTGCTTGACGAAGAATGCGAGCTACTGCTACTGCTGAACGGGTAAATGCAATCTCTGCCAAGGAAGGGGCCGCTGGGAACGGCGTGGCGCGCGGCTCATGTGGAGCGCCGGCTTGCCAGGAGCGAGATAAGCGCGGCAGACATCGCTACAACTGTTGGTAAGTCTTATCTTCCGTCATGTTTGCGCTCAAAGTCGTGGTTTTTGCGCACTCGAGCTCAAAGGCGTGGGGTTTTGGCAGATGAAATCCTTCGCTTCCCCGACGTGCCGCTGTCTTTGAGAGTGTCCGCTTATCTGTTGCTGGGCGTGGCACGCATTTACTCTAGGAAGGTTGTCTACCTCCTGGCAGTCTCCAACGAGACCTGGGAGAAGATCAAAAGGCTGAGCATCAAAGCTAGCGACGCTTCTCTACTGGAAACTGAGCGCCTTTGTGTGGGCTATGCTGGAAACTTGGCTGACTTGCTCGATCCTTTTCGGGAAGAAGAGGTTGTAAACGCAGTACACAGGTACGGGAATATGATTGGCAATGTTGCACTGTTAACTTTCTGTTAGCGTTTGTGCAGCAATGTCGATTTGCACGTTGCACTGGCAGAGCACATTACTTTGCAGCCAAACGTAGATCATTTTGGATCTTACAACACGGAGCTAGATGGTGAGAACTGGCTTTTGTCTAGTCGTTTCTAACTTTTTACTTTACAGAAAGATTTCCTGATGGTGATTTGCCATTCGGCTTCGAAGTTGAGGAAGTCATCTCGCAATGGTATGGTGTGATTCCTTTCTTCAACGAGAGTAACGTACCCTGTACTGCAGCCAAGAGAAAGAAAACTTGGACGAATGGTCCGGCATTGTGGACGATGGAGTATTTCAGCCGCAAACACCAACAAATGACGTCTTGGCAGACCATAGGGAGCGAGCACCTTACAGCCTTCTACGTCCAACGGCAATGCGGTCCTTGGCTTCGATCGTTGATGAGATAGCTGATCAGCAAATGCCAGATGCTCCTTTTCAGACTGTGATAGAGAGGGAGAAGGCCATTCGCGCGCAAGACTGTGGCTATTTTTCCGAAAAAGAATCAGGTGAGCTACTGTAAGTTTAAAGGCTCGTGACTGTCTTTTATCACAGAGTTGGCCTTCGCTCCAAGGACACCTCAGAAACCATGCACTGAGATACGCAGCAACGTCAGGACCAGAAACAAGCGGAAGCGGCTTGCGTTTGATATGTCGACCATGCTATCGAACGAGTAAGCCGAGTATCATAATTTCGTTTACAACTCTGACTCCCGGGTTTTGGTAGCCTGCTACAGAACCAGCTCCGTAGCACAAAAGACCTGCTAAGGCCTCGTAAAAGAGCCGATTGCTGTTATCGACGAATGCTTCTTATGCAAAACATGACTGCTAGGGACCAGAGGTTGCTTCAGCTGCTAACTGGTAGCCGGCTGCCAGCGAGCAACTATCAACTGAGGACTTACGGTGTTTTGGAACGCGAAACAGAGAGAGGTATTAAGCTTACCTTCCAAGTTCATAAGAACTAATTTTTAACAAACTTTTAGAGATCGCCGCCACGAAAAAGCTTGCTGGAGATAATCTGAACGGGGAAGACAATTTGAACGCTTCTATAAACCCAGCTGTCGACTCTGTAGCTGATTTACCCGTAAGCTGCGTGATTTTGTTTCATTTTTTTATGAACTCGGTTTTTTTTCTGCAGGACTTTGATTGCCATTTTGAAGGTGATGATACTTTTTGCACTTTCCACTTCACCATTTCGCTGATCTCCTTACAGAACTTGTAGACGGCCGTGACTCCCAGGCTCCAGACAGTGATGTATGCTCCGGACGGACGAGGTCAGTGCTTATCAAGTGGTAAATATATTCTCAATGATGTTTCATGTGACCAGGGCGGTAGCACTTATGTTGGAGAGGCTCAGCAAACAGGCCCCGAACGCGAGTTTGTCGCTGGAACAAATTCTGACCGGAAAAACTAGAAGAGTTGCAGCTTGCATGTTTTATGACATTCTGGTAACGTTGTGTATTTTTTTATTCGCGACTTGTTTCCGACAGCGTGTGGAACAGGTCCTCGGGTCCAAACAGTCTCTCTTAGTGAAGCAAGAGGTTCCATTCGGTGACATAATAGTTAGTGCATCCATGTGATTTTTTTTATCACTTCCCTGGTAAGTGATTTTCTCCTGGATGTGTGAATGACTGTAGTATGCTTAACGAAAAATTTAACAAGCTTGATTTCTCGCCTTTCTGATGCTCGAGCATTATGATCTTCAAGGTATTGCTTGCCTCGTCGTATCTGCATTTATACCATTTTTTATTTTTTTTTGTTCGTTGTTTGGTTTTTAGACATTTTGTTTCAGGAATAGAGAGCTCCGGGTGCTACTTTATATTTATACTGTGAATGGTGCTTCTTCCTCAACGAGCTCGGGTCTCACGGCGAGTAAAGTACGTATTCATTGGTTTTCTTTGTAACTGTTTTTCTTTGGCACGTAGGACACCACTTGGCGCCTGCGTGTGTAGAGCACACCCTAAATACGAAGAAAAGATGATCCGAGCGCCGTTTCCAGGAGGATTGGGCAGCACCTTTTGTTCCGTTGTTTGTTTTGGCAAATGCGCGGCGGGGAGACACACGAGCCTCTGCCAAGCATACCAAGTAAGTTTACTCTTGTCCTTCTGGGCTTTTTTATGATTTTTTGGTGATCGCGCAGAATACATTCACCCCAACGGAGAGAGTGAAGCAGAGAATCCAGCACGGCTTTGAAAAATTCAAGCAGGAGACTTTCTTGTACGCCAGACAAATCTGAATCCCTGGACGGTTTCAATGCCAACTTCCGAATTTGTGCTGTGGACAGGAGGCAACCAAAGCTGTTTCGCGAAGTAGCGGTGAAGCAGACTCCAAAGGTAAGCGCTGTCTGGTCTTAAGAACGCTCGAAACGGCTCATCTCTTATATTTCTTGTGCAGTTCATGGTCATTGCCTGCTCCGACTCGAGAGTATGTCCCACGACAGTTCTTGGATTCCGGCCAGGCGAAGCATTTGTCGTCCGCAACATTGCTAACATGGTTCCTCCACCAGAGCAGGTACTCTGTAATTTTCTTGGTTTGGATTCCAAAGCATGGTTGTGAAAATCCGGGCAGGCTATGATCTATCCCGGCACTAGTGCAGCTATTGAATACGCCGTCATGGTTCTCAAGGTAACCATTTTCCGGCAAATACAAGCTTTGCAAACCGTCCATAGGTGGAGAGTATAATGGTGATCGGGCACAGCAGGTGTGGTGGCATCCTTGCTCTCATGACACAGAAGGAAAATGTGAAACGGAGGTACTTTTACGCTCTCGCTTTGCTTGTTTCTCTCCTTTTCTGGCACATCTGACGTGATTTTTTAGTCAGTGTTTTTGTTGAAGACTGGATCCAGATTGGGCTTGCGGCTCGTACCGCGGCTCTCAAGGCAGCAGCTGACCAGGACCTGGAACAGCAGTGCACAATGTGCGAAAAGGTTTGCTCTGCGAGCGCTGCTCTTTCCCCGTTCGTCTGACGATTTCGTGCCAGGAGTCTATCAACTTATCGCTGTCAAACCTCTTGGCTTTTCCCTTCGTGCACGACGCAGTCATGAATGGCAACCTCACGCTCCATGGTGGCTACTACAACTTTGTGGAAGGCTCGTTTGAGTACTGGCTGTATGGGGCGGATGGGAAGACAGGTGCTCATTCCCGATTCTAATCAGCAAGGTATGTCACTAGTTTCATCGGTTTCTTTCTTAAGATGCTGTTGCGTTTGTGTAAGCTAAGGCGGCCGATCAAGCACTTGTAAGGGAGGAACGAGTTTACAGCACAAGGTTTTGTGATCGCATTGGCAAATTCATCTTATCCTGCTCAATATAAATAAAAGCATTGACTATCATGCTAGGCTTAAAGTAATTGCCGTTAAACTTGAAGGGTTGCCCTAAAAAGATGGTAGTGGAGCCGGATGTTGTGATCCACGCTTCGCGCTGGTGTTGCCTCAGAGATCTGGCGTCTAGGGCTCAGAGGGTATACCAGGTTGAGCCTTTTATACCAGGAAAATCTCCCAAGGAAGCGACGGTCGACTGGAGCGGTCTTTTTCCAGGTAGCGAGTTGAAAAGCACTAATCCGCCTCGAGGCGGTGATCTCCAGCCTCTGTTTGACTTCGATGAGCAAGGTATGCCGATAGCCACAGTAAACAAAGAAGCGAAACGGTGCTCTGGCTGCTGGGAGCGAGCGTTAAACCTTTGCTCCCAGGCCATGGCCAAGCTTGGCACCACGGCACACCAGTTTTCTCTCCAGGAGCGCCAACAGCCAGCCTTGTCCTTGATCCATAAGGCACTGGAGCTCTTCAGGCATAAGCAGCAGGACAAGAATTTATTCCAAGTTTATGTTCTAGGTAATAGTTTGAGGAAAGTGGGCTTGATTACTCGACCCAGCGAGGAGGTGGTGTTGGAGCTCTTGAATCGACACCCAGTGGTAACGAGCTTGAGATGCGAGCAACTTGAAAAAGATGATGCCTTTGTGGATGACGGCGGTGGCAAGGCGTGGTATTGTAGCACGTACAACATGTACTGGATTGGGCAGTGTGTGGTGCTCCTGGGATTTACTCCCACTAGATGGATTGTGTTCCACCCTAAGCACGGGATTTTCACGGTGCAAAGAGAGCAGTATACTGGCGTCGCAGAGTTCGTCTTAGTGCCCCTTTTCTCGTAATTTATTAGCAATCTTCTGTAATTTCTTTTTATTTCAAGAAAGGGAATAGGTGTCCTGCAAAAGTAGCTCACGTCCTGATGTAAACTTGGTCCTGTCTTACAAGAGCTTGATCGCGTTTGTCTATATGAAACTTTCACAACAAAAAACAAGCTCTTTCGCATGAAATCGTCAGACGAATGGGAAAAGCAGTTCCCAGCTGACTAAGGAACCCGCTACAACGCATCCATGCTTGTCCTGCATGAGGTTGTTTAGTCGGCTTGGATTTGCAGTCCTATCAAATCCCTGCGAGCTCGTTAAAAGCTTTTGCTTCTTCTGGATTCTTCCTTTGCCATAAGATATCACTGTTGAGATGCCATTCTTACGAACGAGAGAAAAGAATGACGTGACTCACTCGAGAAATGCTTGTCACCGGTGGTGGTCGTCCCAAGTGACAAATGTTCCCCAAAGCGTCTTACTGCTTGAAGGATGTTCCCTCCTTAGAAGAAGGTAACGAAGAAGAAGAATCCTCATCAATCAACCAAGTCGAGGAAGTAAATGTTACCAATACTCGTAAAAGGCGCAGGAACGAGCAAAGACCAGGTTGCCTCGGCAGCGAAAGATGTGTTCTATGGTCGTGACAAAACAAATCCCGCTAGAAAACATGCAAGTGAAAACTTTCATGCAAAGCCATGTTTACCTCTTGGAAACTTCTGATGGCGATTGAGTCAAGAGCTTCGCGAGGATGCTGGCCGCAACAAAGAGATAGCTAGCCATCCAAGTCCCAGGACCTAGGCGGAAAACGCAAGGATCATCCATCACCACAGTCTATACGCTATGATCCACAAGACAAGCCGTGGTTAAGAGTGCTTGGTTCACATGATCAGTGAGACCAGATGGAGCATTGTGTACGAGAGGATGAATGGAAAGACGATAATACGAAGCCGTGACGCCTTTGAAAGCTCCGGCCGCGCACAACTCTGTCACACAGAGGAAATAAAAATCAAACAATCACACGATCAAACGAACAAAAGGAAATGCGGCATCCAGAATCTAACCGGCTTGACGTGGGTTTGGAGCGCTGGAGGAGGCGTAGGGAAGCGAGGGCTTCACAATCTCCATTTCCTGTCGCTCCCTGGAGCTGGAATCCTCCTCGGGGAGAGTGCCGCTTCTCCTGACGGTCGGCGCACAGTTTTCTGTCAATCACGCATTGATTTTTTTCTGACATAGAACAATGTGCGATAAGCACGTTCTTCTCGTGGGATCTTCGCGAAGAAACGTCTCGTGTGGGATTGGGATGATCTAAGTTTGTGAGTGTATACCGAAAGTTTTTATTGATTGTCAACAATGCAGTTCTAGACATGCCATGGTTTCTCCATACAGTGTTAGGAATTTTCATTCCTAAGCAAGACAGAAACGATACGATGAAGTCCCAAGTGGTCTACTGCGAAAGCAGTACAAGAGCTCAAAACATTTGGAGAGACTGCAGAGGGCAACATCTCCTGCTCAAGCTGCTCTGTGAGATGGGGGTTTGATTCCTGATGGCATGAGGAGCTGGGACATAAGGTGGTCAGAACCACCAAATCTGCCAGAACACCTCATTGTGCCTGCATTATTGCTTGATGAGTTCATTGGATGGATTGAAAGCGAGCAAACATATGATTGTTGGGGTCGGAGATTGCAAGCAGACGACACTATGAAGGGCTTCGTTCTTCTCCCATCAGGTAATTATGCTCTTGACTGCTGAGATTAAACATTGATGTCTGTGTGTTCGTTGGTTGAAAGCAGGAGTATTTGCAGTTATTCAAGCCAAGGTGAAGGAGATGTGTGACAGATGGGGCCATGGAAGTAAAATTGGTGCTGGTTGGGTTTCCTTTCAAGAGGATCTCATTCAAGTTCTGGTGACTATTGGTGGGGATTATAAGCATTGGACAGATCGGCAATGGGTGGATATTATGTTGATGGTGCCCAAGGAGGAAAAGAGGGGACTCAAAGGGGAGCAGTTCATGAAGGAGATACGGGATTGTGTAGTCAAGGAAACTAACAGGGCCTGTCCTTTCATCAAGCTTGAAGAGCATGTTCTGAATCCAGTGAAGGTAAGACAATTTGGGAAAGCAGGTCATGCGATGAAAACAGCAAGGGCTGTTGGGTACTGCAAGAGGTTAAACAGATGGTAGCTAGGGATGGCTTTGATTATCACTTTACCTGGGTTTTGGTGACTCCACAAGTGTCTTGGAACTCTTGATGCCAAGTGAAGTCAACGAGATTATTCAGCCACGTAAGCGTGCTGTTGAAGAGGTTGTCACAGAATACAACCAGCACATAGTGCCAGTGTATCAAAGCCAGCTTGTGCAGGTTGAGATCCCAAAGTTTGAAAGTGATGACATGGGCAACCTTGCCAGCTTTTGCTACCAATTACAGAAGCATCAAATGCAGGGGATTCAGATATATATGGAGGACTTTAAGGTCTCCATAACAGATATCAAAGAATCTTTACAAAAGCTCTGAACGACACAGAAAACGCATTGATCAAGAGCTGCTCATCACTGTTGGAATCCATTAAGCTGGAGTGTCCGAAACTCCCTCACCTTACAATGGAGTCAAATCTGTTGTTAAATATTCACCACTGATTGGGAAACGAGCAAATATTAGCTACTTATGTGAGCATCCAAGCGGCTGTCACCTAGTTGATTTGAAGAAGTACCCAGGAGTACCAATCACTATCCCAAATCAATGGTTCAAAAAGTATAGCAACATCTTCGTCCCAGGCATCACAATGTGTTTCACCCTTGCAAAGCTCGGTAAAGTGGCATTGCCTGTGGGAGGGGAGCTGGTCGGCACCTTGATTGAGCTTGGTGCAAATGGCTTGAAGGCTACAATTGACTCCTGCTTTAAAGGCGATCTCAATAACAGGTTGCAACCAGCATCAAAAGATGACATTGTGGAGTTGTTTGAGTATGTGAAAAAGAATTCACCTCAACGATATGGCAAGGACCGATGAAGAAGTGCTTTGATCTCGTCAAAAGTCCAAGTGGCTGGGTCTGTGAAGATCACTATTATTGTAGAAGAAGGGCACAGGCTTAGTAAAACTACTAAAATTCAGAAGCAGTGAAGTGAAGGAATTTTTATTCAAAGAAAAAAAACAAAAGAAAGCAGCTAAGTTCTTGGCAGAATGTTTGGGACGATATGCTTATCCACAAGGTGTAGTTCATATATTGTATGTCCAGAGCTCATATAATTAGGGAACTTAGAGATCAAACCTTAAGACCTCTCTCCACACCATCGGACACTTCAAAGTTTCCACAAAGAAACGGTGCAACGCAGGAGTCCTACGATTCAGCTGTTCCTTAGTTACTCCCTGTGCACGCATGAGCGTAGCATGCAAGTAAAAAATTCTCATTGAAAATTCTAGACTAGGGAAAGAGATTTCTCAGTGAGCTGCTGAATGGCCATTCTTCTCCTCCAGCCTCCTGGCCTGTGCTCCAGGATCAGAAGAGGACCCTTATGCGTACGGAGGGGTGATCCAGGCCGGGAACATGTTCGTGTCGGGTCATGTTTCCTCGGGTCGTCCACTTCCAGCTCAACGTTGGGAAGGAGGAAGCTGTGGGGATCGCCACGTTTAACAGCCAGAATCCGGGGACTTCGAGGTTGCAAAGGCGGTCTTTGCTTCCAGGCCGGACGTGAGCGACGATGTAATTACCAAGGCGTTCCAAGTCTCAGATCCCGAGCTTGTGAGTGGAAGCTGGGCCCTGTTGGAAACAACGAATAAAATATGAAGAATCTTTCAAGGAAGATCACCTTTGCTCGAGTACAGACGTAGAAACCACGGCCAAGATTGGGACCAGCCTTCTTAACTGTTCTCACGACACAAGTCTCACCATGTCCCTTGCACGATAGAAGATTTCGCGACATCAAGCTCTTCAGTCGTTCCCAGCCTGCTGCCAATTTTTCCAAGCTTTGCTGAGAGCTTTCCGTCGGTGTTTCATCTGACATATCCATCAGAATGGCACTCTCCCCGCAAGGTGCAACCTCTGAGCAGTTGTTATTGTCGCACGATTCAGCTGATTGCTGGATTTCATCCGTAAGGCTGGAGCTCTGCCCATGCACTGCAACCTCTGTGCAGCTCATTTTGTCAGAAGATTCATGCTTTGATAGCAAAACCCTGTCAATCGGCTTTGTGACAGCCTCTGTAGTTTCCTGCTGCCCGTTTCCTGTGTAAAACCAGGCTTGGAAACATTTCGGCTTGTATCAGGCTCGGTGTTAGCTGTTGTTCTCTCGTTGAGCTTTCTGAAAATGGAAACTGCACCAGTCAGCACGAGCGGTTGTCAGAAACGTCCTTCGCTTTAAGAAGTTACTTACTGATACTTTCCTGAGGAGCGCAAAGCTCAGGCATAAATCGAGCAGCCAGTTGTGGAGCTTCATGTGGTGGAATGGAAGATAATGCTTAAGCGCAGAATAGCAGGAGCGTGATCTGAACCATCCAGTTTTAAGCTTCTCCCACCACTCCATCTGCCATGGAGAAACATCAACACTGGCCACAACTAGTCTGTCTTTTTGGCGTACCTCGGAAGGGTGTCCAGCTTTGCACGCTTAAACTCGAGAAGAATGTCACACATATCTGTTCCACACTCTGCAAATCCGTCACAGCTACTATTTTCATGCGATCCATCAGGACACTGACAATGGCCAGCGCAGGGACCAGCAATAAGAACATGATCAATACGACTGCCATAGTTAAACTCCTCCGCACCCGATGCCTGAGACCAGCAAGTGTAAGCCTCTGCTCTGGACAAGATACATATAAGCAGGTATGATTTGGCCAGACCAAAACCGTGAAGAGTTACATTTCAGGATGAAACACGCGAAACGAGTCTGAAAACGCACCACCCTCGCTCACCAGCAATGATCTAAACCATTGACGGCTCCTGTTAAAATGAACATGTTAAAAACTACTAGAGCGGCTTGAATCAGTGAGTGACTTACGGATCGGTATCAAATTTTGGACCAGGGTCACATGAATCAATAGGATATGGAGAAATGTTCAAGTGCCCCACGATAATAATCCTCCTGCCTCGTTTTAAAATCCTACACTGCGAAGGAAGAAAAAGTTTTACAACAAACAGCAACGCATCTGTCAATACCTGTAACACTTTCTAAAACTTCAGCTTAAAGTCCTGTCGTTCAGTGCTTCCACAGCCAACACTAGGACCATAGATATTGAAGAGTATTAGGTAGAAAGAATCCATCAACAAACAGAAAAGAACAATCAGTGCAAATGAAAGCGAGGAAGCTCCATACCAAACGTCCCCTCAAATCTCTTGGATCTCGGTTGCCCTTTGCTCCTCGAGAATCACCAGGAGCTTGGATTTGAGCAGCGCGATTGCTTTTATCTTGTTTTGGAGTTGGCTTCTTTCCTCTAGATACACGAAGAAACTTTTAGAGAGCACTGCGCGGTTACTTCATTTCATGTACCTGAGCAGCGAAGAGCAATCCCGGTTGGAATGTGCGTGACACGAACAGCAGTCTCGACCTTGTTTACGTTCCCGCCTTTGCCTCCAGATCTACACGTTGTAATCTCAATAGTCGCCATCGGGTTACTCCACCTCGATCTCGTTCTCTTCCAGCAGAGGCATCACTTCCACTCCTGCAAAGCTCGTCTGTGAAGAGAAGCAAACGTTGAGACAAGAGTTTCGAGAAACTAACGTTTGCTTCACCTGTTGTAAAGCTTTGGCGTTGAAAGGCACGCACACAGTACCAGCCTGTGCGTGCCTTTCTCTCCCCTGTCGATCTCGAGTGTGGCCGATTTGATCCCAGCTTCCTAACTCTCCACCACAGTCGACTTAAACCCCGACCTGGTAGCCCATCGCTGGTACATCCTTAGAAGCATCTCACCCTGTGCTGGAATGTATGTAAAACAATCTCAAAGCTTCTAAAAAGATATCAGCACACGATGTTACCTGCACATCGGTTCCGCCAGCGCCTGCGGTAATAGTGATCCGAGCTCCTTCTTTGTCATTAAGTTCCATAAAAGAGCTTGATCAGTCGTCGTGCAGATACTTGACGCATTGAAAGAGCACTGGTCATTTCTTTGTAAGGCATGAGACCACCACTTCCTTGACATCCACGATCGATGGATGGTGAAACGAGAGAAGAACGTTGATTTCCGAGAAGTCATGGGGAATCCATCTCTCTCGTGGACCATCTTCACTCTCTTGAGCGCCACAATCTCTCCACTCTTCTTGTCCCGAGCACGATAGAGGACTCCATAAGTCCCCTCGTCGATCTTGTTAAGCCTCTCAAACTCGTCCACGCTCCGGCAGCCTCGCAGCATATCAATACTACGTAGCTGTGGGGGTGGCGATCGATCGTCATAGTCCAAGTCCGACCCCAAGCGCTCGTCTGGAGCACTACCATCGTCATCGCTGAGTTTCACAAGCTCTTTCTCGTAAAGTTCCTGCTCATACCGCTGCTCCTCATCTCGGCTCCCGGAATTGTCTTGTCACCACCACCGCTGGAAAGCACATCGGTGTCAATCGGCTGTGTTTCATCCTCTCCAGCAGCAGCCGCCTCGGAGTATAGACAAGGGCGGCGCTGCATCAGATTTCCTGCCGTCGTCAAGGTCCCAAACAATGGGAGAGTACTTCCCCATCGTCGCCCTCTAAGTCCCTGGAATCCGTGGCAATGTAGGCCCTGAGTCCATTAGCTCGCTCGGGCGGGAGCATGAGAGCTAGCGCATTTGGAGCTCACCGGCGAGCGCCATTCGCTCTATTACCCTTTGTTGGTCTATTCACTATTGCATTTTATGTTTCTTGATTCTTTATGAAAGGAGGAAAGAAAGTTCTCGTCTATCGACGACGAGGATTTGAAGGTACTTCCATCGCTAAACCCTAGAAACCTCGAGCAATATAAAAAAAAGCCCTTTAATGGATATGGTTTAAAGAATTTCAGAAAGATCATTTCGTTTCTTAGTACCACTCGATGATTTCGACGACGAGGATTTGAAGGCACTTAAAACGTTTTCTTCTATCGGGTTCGTGTTAAAATGGAAGAGCGAACCTCTTCCCTGTGCCGCGATCGCTCACCCTATCGAGAGAGCGTCATCGCTAAACCCCCTCCAAATCTCATAAAGAGCCCTTTAATGGATATGGTCTAAAGAATTTCCAGAAAGATCTTTTCGTTTCTCCTACGGCATAGTACCAATTTCACGTGAAACGAATATACTCGCTTTTCTTTGCTTCTTTGTTTTCCGTATCCCCGTTCTTCTTCGTCACGGATGTTCTAAACCAAAAAAAAAAAAGCAAGAAAACCACGAGAGAATCAAGTCAATAAGATTGACGTGTTAGATCCAAATCCAAGCAAGCTTCCAAGAAATGTACTTCCCAAGTCGCTGCCATGAAAGCCAGTCCCCCATACCGCAAAAAAACCCTAAACAAATCCCTCCACCAAAAAGCTGTCTAGGCCGCTGTGGATAAACCATCCAAGCAAACAAGAAATGTACCTCCCAAGTCGCTGCCATGAAAGCCAATCCCCTGTACTGCAAAAAAACTCTAGGGTAACAGGCCCAATTCTCGCCCGGGTCCTTAATTCCGGCCACCTTTGGCCCAAACCTTGTCGATGTGATAAATAGAAAATTATGTGGCAATTATTTGGCGGGTTTTATGGCATCCTAGGTTATGACGGATTTGAGTGTCATCCAAGCATTCATCACTTTTTTCAATCACAAATCTAATTATTTTGAAGAAAAGGAATGCATTTCATTGCTCTATTTCATCTATATTCCTGAGTTTATAATAGAGCTTAATAAAACTGTAGGAATAAGGGATTTGTTGAGTTCAACTATTCATCAAGCTGCATTTCATCTCAGGAGTGGGCAAAAAAAGTGAAAAAGTTGGAAAGAACACATCAAATCTTAAGGTATGCCACTCTTTTGAAGAAGAAAAGCATTCATTTCTTAATAATTTCTTAGATCCTATCACAAGATTTACTATTCAATCAACTACAAAGCTCAGCCAACACAATATGCATACATGAAGCACATCGCACACCATTTTCTTGCCTGGTCAAAATGCTATAACAAGAAACCAACATATTATACGGCAAAAGAACACAACTTTCAAGAGCTCGTGCGCAAACACTCACAGCTCCCAGAGGCTATCCCATTCTGGGCTGTCCTTGCAACAAGAGGTAACTATCTGTTTCCATTTTAGATTTTTAACTAGACTTGCTTCCAGCCTGTGGTGCAAAGAAGTTTGGCAGCTCCTATCCCTGAAAGTGTACCTGAAAGCCAATGTCTTGGCACTGCAAAGGTAAAGATTGTCAGGTTAAAAGAAAAAGAAATGTCTGACTTCTCTACTATTTATCCATGTCTTGTAAGTCAGCCTCCAGCCATAGCACATAGCCATAAGCATGCAACTAGAACATGGAATGAAGAATCAAAAAAGAAGGCTATGCATGAGGTGGAAGAGTGTGGCATGTCTGAAAGAAAAGCTGCTCAAGAATTCAACATACATCGGACGACTTTGCGAGATCAGTTAAGGGGACATAGCACAGGATGACCAGGTCCTCCCACCATTCTTACATCATCGGAAGAAGAGTCTCTTCCATCTCTGGTGAAAGTTTGAGCTGAAATAGGTTATCCACTCACTTTCAATCAACTGAAAGATGCAGCAAAGCTGTTAGTTGCTGGCAGAGTAACTACCTAGATAGAAGGAGGACCAAGTCAAAAATGGTGCAAAGGTTTTATGAAAAGACATCCAGAGATCAGTAGCAAAGTTGCTGAGGCCTTGGAGTTGCAATGAGCAAAGTCCTTGAATCAAGTAGTGGCATAATTCTACAAAAACTTCGAAGCAACTTACACTGGAAACAACTATAAGGCAGATCACATTTGGAATGCTGATGAAACTGGCGTTCAGGCTAATCGTTTTGGAAGTGTCAAAGTGTTACCTGCTCGAGGTGCAAGATCCTATTACTGAATCATCCCAAACAACACAAAGCACATGACTGTTCTAGTGGCCATAAATGCAGTAGGTGGACAAATACCTGGCTTTTATATCTTCAAAGGTGAGCAGAAGATGCAAAATTGGATCGCAGATTGTGAAGTTGGAACTGCCTTCACCATTAGCAAGAAAGCCTATATGACAGACAATTTGTGGCCACAGTGGCTTGAACACTTTGTGAAATTAGTACCTGGTGGATGCTTGCCTACAAACTGCCATGCTCTCATTGTTGATGGCCACAGATCCCATATTACAAAGGTTGCACTTGACACAGCAAAAATGTTAAGTGTGAATGTGATTCTTCTTCTAACACATACTTCTCACCACATGCAGCCGTTAAACATTGCATGTTTTGGGCCATACAAGTGTTACTTCAGGCAGTGTGTGGATGAACACACTCTTGGACATCTAGGACACAAAGTCAATCGTCGAGATCTTACACAGTTATCCAGTAGAGCTATGTCTATGGCTTTGACACCTGCAAACATCCAATCTGGTTTTAGAGCAAGTGGTTTATGGCTGTTAAACAAGAATGCTATGGACACTCACTTTGGTCCAAGTACACTCCGTGAAGTATCTCTTGACAGCTTTGAAACAGACTTCAAAAACACTTTGGAGCTCAGCCACCTCAATGATGAACTAGAACTTCAGCAAGATCTAGTGTAGCCTGAATAGCATGAGGATCCAGTGCAGGCTGAGGTCCATCTACAACATCCAGTGTAGCCTGAGCAGTAAGCAAGTAATGATCGTGACCAGCTTGAGCATCCTAAACTTCTTAGACAACTTGAGCAGCTAGGTAAAAAGCACTTCTCAATTCTCATTCACTTACAACTTTGTTTCCCAAGAGCTTCGCTAGAGCATCGAGTTGAGCAGCATGAGCAACACATGAATGTGCTTGGATAGCAATCAAAAAACAATAAGGTGGCATACCTGCATGCAAAATTATTTCTAGGGGTGCAAAGTTGTCCTTGACTTGGACCAATGTTGCAAGCTAGTGCTAGAACTGTTTTAACAAGTCCAGAATTCACTAGTGTTGTTGGAGCAATTGCCACTACAAAAGAAGCACATGAGAAGCAAAAAAAATTGGAAGTAATTGAAAGGGCTACAAGGAAAAAGGAAAGAGAAGAAGCAACAATAAAAAAGAAAAAAGCAGCAGCCATCAAAAAAAAAGAGAGGGAAGAAGCAGCAACTAGAAAAACTGAAGCGATGGAGAAGAAAAAATTGGAAGCCTTGAAAAAAAAAGGGAGAAAGAAAAGGAAGCAATGAGAAAAAAAAAAGAAAGAGAAAGAATGAAGTCCTAGAATCTTTAATGCTAAGCAAACACCAAAAACAAAAATAACAAATTTGCTTGTTTTCACTTTAATATCTCTAGGCTTGCTTGTAGTTACCTGGAAAATGTTATTATCCCACACTGCTTTCGCTCCTCTTTGCGGCAACAAATCTAGAATGGTAGGGCCATCAATGGACAAAAAATTGGGCCATAAACGGATGGATATTGGGCCATAAATGGACAGACTTAGGATAAATTTAGACTTTTTAGTAATGAGCGGTTTTTAAGATTTTGTGAGTAGCTTTTTCTAAAAATTAGTTTATAAGCAGTAAATCATATAAACTTTTATATTATACCTTTACGTACAAAAATTATATTTAAATAAATGAATTCTTACATTATTTTATTAACCCTGGGCCCATTACCCTAAACAAATCCCTGCACCAAAAAGCTGTCTAGCCTGCTGTGGATGAGCTCGAAACCATCCAAACAAAGCGACTGCGCCTGGATCCGGTGCCGCTGCACGGTGCTGGGGTTCCATACTCATCCGATTGCATGATCAGGTTTGTCTCTCCGGATCTTGCTTTAATCCTCTTTTCTTTTCTTTTTTTCTTTCTTCCGGCAAGATGGGCGATGCAACGCCGTGGATGTGATATCCCTGTTCTTATTCTTTTTCTTCTTTCTTGGAAGATCTTGTTAGTTTTCTAGTTAAATGACATACTCTGTTTCCCCTAAATCATTTTCTCCAGGAGGCGCATTTTTGCCGACTAAAATCCATTCAAGATCGAGAATTTGAGCGCATGTAAGTAAATCGTTGTTATTGTAAAATTCTAGACTCGGGAGACGCTCTGAGTGAGAGAACGACCTGCTACTTGGCAATCTTCTCTTCGAAAGCTACCTGGCCTGTGCTCAAGCATCGGACGACATACAAAACTTGTACAGCTTGTCTAACGCATGTGCTTTGCTAATTGCTTACAAAAACAAAGCAAATGCAAAAGAAAGAGAAAAAAACTTGGCATGATTGATGTCACTTTGTACGACGTGCACCGTAGGTTAGAGTTGGCATCTGATTTCATGTTTAAAACCAAGCAGCATGCCAAGCCACTGACTCATCTTTGCTAGCCACTTCCAAGTTGTCATTTAGATGTTGATTCATCAACGACATTTGTTGTAATTGCTGAGGTATTCCATTGGACGTTATGGGGGAGCCAAAGCAGGCCCGGATAGACGATTACAAGGATTTGGGAAGCATTTCCTCTGAGATGGGGAGCCATGGGGTGTCGAGTGTGAGGGAGCTGAAGGAACAGAGATACAGAGCAGCAACCATCCATTCAGTTTTCAAAGGCTTGCTCGAGCTGCTGCTGCAGGAGGACAACACTCTGGAGCACGTAAGACTCTGGTGCGAGGGCTACCACAAAGTGGGGGGGTTTCTAGAAGCAGCTGTGTCCAAGCTCAGCAGCCTTGGCATTTTTGGAGACAAATTTTACGAGGTGGTGATTCGCAGCTTGGATGAAGCTATTGCTGCTTCCAAGCACAAGGGGATGCCAATCAAGCTCAAGACGATTCTTCTAGATTCTTGTGACGTAGATTTAGATGCTTTAGCAGGATCAACACTTCCAAAGTATTTAGAACGTCTGGAGCTTAAACGATGCGATTGCTCGCCCCACCTGGAGAAGCTGCTGCAAGATCCAGCCTGCAAGATCTGGGAGCTCTCCCTGGATAACGATAAATACTTGACGCCCACCCTCTTCCAGGCAGGAACAAGTCTACGGAAGCTTACGCTGGTCGACATCCCAAATGATCAGGCGCTACTCAGCCAAATCTGCGGATCAATAGAAGGCCTTGGAATTTCACATGTGCCCAGCCGTGCGGAGATCTTCCTGCTGGAAGATTGCATAAACAACAATGCCAAGTCCAAGCTCTGGTTCCTAGAGTTCACATCATTAGATTTCTCTTTCGTGCAGCTCGCGGGCCAGCTGCTGAAGAGCCCATATTGCAAGCTTGAAAGTTTCTCCTTGTTACCTGGGGGTTTTGGTATTGACACTAAGCAGGATGACATTTTTCCTTTCAAGGAGTATCAAGATGCGATTCTCAGCAATTTGGAGGCCAACTACAGCAGCCGGATCCAGAGACTGCGCATTCACGGGGAGTGGGCTTCCAAACTATTGGAGGACAGATGGTTGAGGGTGAAGTACCGGAATGCTCTATTTCAGAAGAGCCCCGTTCTTGCAAAAAGCGCTCCAGTCACACCATCAACTGCCAAGCTGTTCATGTGCGGCCACACTGCCTCGGGCAAGACCACCATCTCCACCAATCTTGTCCGCACCTGTGCCGCCCTCCAGCAGTGCGTGACGCCGCCGCGTCAGGATCATGCATCAACAGTGGGAATTGAGAGGAGGACTCTCAGATTTGGTGAGAGGAAGAAACTCCTGATTTACGATCTGGGAGGCCAGGAGGTCTACCACGCTTTTCATCACTATTTCCTCAGGGGCAGCGACAAAGATCTCTTCATGGTGGTGTGCAAGGTTGGAGGTCCTGGAGGTGAGATGAAAACAGACTTGGAAACAGAGCTCCAATACTGGTTTCGCTTCATAGCGGCCCACCAAACTGCAACACCAGCTAGGAAACCCACCATTTTCTTAGTACTCAACATCTTTGTTCGTGATCACGGTTTCTTGGTAGAAGCTCGAGCAGCTGCGACGTCACTGGTACCCAAGTATAAGGACAGGCTAGACTTTGTTCAGGGCCAACGTGGTGATCACTATTTCGAGGTGAATGGGTTGAATGCTCGTCAGGTACAGAAGGAACTGAAGCCAAAGCTGGCGATAGCAGTGGGCGAAATGATAAATGAAATTCCTGTGATTCCCTGGACTTGTGATGAGGTTATCAGAGGGCGGGGTTCATCCACACCATGGTATCATATCCACAAACAGGCACAAACAATTGTCCAGCAGAGGGTGGTCGACCTACATGAGATGTCCAAGGCTTGGTTGCAGGGGGAGAAAGAAGTTCAGGCATTTGCTGCACAATACACATTCATCTGCCTACATGATATGGGAGAAGCTGTCTACTTTGGGGCAGATGACACATATCAAAACACGGATCCAAACGACAAGGAAGCTGCATTGATTGTCAACAATGCAGTTCTAGACATGCCATGGTTTCTCCATACTGTGTTAGGAATTTTCATTCCTAAGCAAGAGAGAAACGATAAGATGAAGTGGGGGGAACCCAAGTGGTCTACTGTGAAAGCAGTACAAGAGCTCAAAACACTTGGAGAGACTGCAGAGGGCAACATCTATTTCCTGCTCAAGCTGCTCTGTGAGATGGGGGTTTTGATTCCTGATGGCATGAGGAGCTGGGACATAAGGTGGTCAGAGCCACGAAATCGGCCAGAACACCTGATTGTGCCTGCATTATTGCCTGATGAGTTCACTGGATGGATTGAAACCGAGCAAACATATGATTGTTGGGGTCGGAGATTGCAAGCAGACGACACTATGAAGGGCTTCGTTCTTCTCCCATCAGGTAATTATGCTCTTGACTGCTGAGATTAAACATTGATGTCTGTGTGTTCGTTGGTTGAAAGCAGGAGTATTTGCAGTTATTCAAGCCAAGGTGAAGGAGATGTGTGACAGATGGGGCCATGGAAGTAAAATTGGTGCTGGTTGGGTTTCCTTCCAAGAGGATCTCATTCAAGTTCTGGTGACTATTGGTGGGGATTATAAGCATTGGACAGATCGGCAATGGGTGGATATTATGTTGATGGTGCCCAAGGAGGAAAAGAGGGGACTCAAAGGGGAGCAGTTCATGAAGGAGATACGGGATTGTGTAGTCAAGGAAACTAACAGGGCCTGTCCTTTCATCAAGCTTGAAGAGCATGTTCTGAATCCAGTGAAGGTAAGACAATTTGGGAAAGCATCAGGACAACAGGGCTCATGCGATGAAAACAGCAAGGGCTGTTGGGTACTGCAAGAGGTTAAACAGATGGTAGCTAGGGATGGCTTTGATTATCACTTTACCTGGGGTTTTGGTGACTCCACAAGTGTCTTGGAACTCTTGATGCCAAGTGAAGTCAACGAGATTATTCAGCCACGTAAGTGTGCTGTCGAAGAGGTTGTCACAGAATACAACCAGCACATAGTGCCACTGTATCAAAGCCAGCAGCAACAGCTTGTGCAAGTCGAGATCCCAAAGTTTGAAAGTGATGACATGAGCAAGCTTGCCAACTTTTGCTACCAATTACACAAGCATCAAATGCAAGGGATTCAGATATATATGGAGGACTTCAAAGTCTCCATAACAAATATCAAAGGATCTTTACAGAAGCTGCAAAAGGGCCTAAAGGACACAGAAAACGCATTGATCAAGAGTTGCTCATCACTGTTGGAATCCA